GTTTTCTATGGACAATTTTTGCAAGACAACTATTCCCCCCCCATTGGAACACATTAAATGGATTTCAATGCATTCCAGTGGGGAGCCGCATTTCACAAGACTATGTTTTAGCAAGACAGTGATTTTCATGGAACGAATTAACATCATCTTGCGAGGCACCACTGTACGATCAATTTATAATCAAGATAAGAAGGCTCAAGGTTTTTATAAAAAAATACAACATTTGGCAAAATATCACTATAGAAGAAAACCAAATTCAAAAATTGTATAAATTTCTACTGCAATGGGATACACAAGATGAAGAAGTTAAATATACAATGTTAAAATGGTCTAAAAACTGTCTATAATATAGAATTAGAAAAATGGCAACAACTTTGGTCAAAAATTATAAGTTAACATTAGCAACTTCCTACAAGGAAAATTTATATAAAATGTTTTATAGATGCCATTTATCACCAGCTAGACTTTCACAAATGTTCCCAAATATGTCAAACAAGTGTTGGAAATGTAAAAATAAGGACGTTATTATCATGTATGGTAGACTTGTGTTAGAACAAAAAATTATTGGACTAAAATCCACAAGTGGATTAAGCAAATGTCAAAATAGGAAATAGAATTGAAACTGGAAATATTTTTGTTAGGATTACTACCAAATACTGTAGGTATACAAAGCTATTATTTAATACTACATGTTTTGACAACAGCTAGGTTATAATGGGCACAGGTCTGGAAAGACGAAATTCCACCAAAAGATGATATGATCATTAAAAACATATTAGAAAGTGCAGAAATGGATAGATTAACTAAGAGGCTAAAGGGACAAGAAGAATCATCTTTTTATTTAAGCTGGCATTTATTTTATCATTGGTGGAAAGTAAAAATCTCACAATAAAGTAACAGAAGATGAATAAAAAGTGGGATGTCATGGATAGGATTTCATCAGAAGAATTATCCCAATATACAAGATTGCTTCTATGTTGAGCCTTAGGCTCTTTTTTTGGCATTTAGATTATCTTTGTTTATTGTTTGTCGGTTAGCGATTCTTACACTTTATGTTTACCGTTTAAATGCGCATTGTGCTATATATCTATGTTTTTAAATCTTCTGTTGGAGAATTAAAAAAAGAAATTTCACACATTACTGTAAGCAATTGCAGATCTCAGAAATCACAGCATCAGAGCGGCAAAAAATGGCAATATTAGGAACAGCATACATACTGCTCCAATATTTAACAGATAGGTTTTTTGGTAAAACTTGTATCTGTTTATAATACTAGTCAATGTTTTGATTGACTGTGCTTGGTGTTTAACAACAACAACAACAACAACAACAACAACAACAACAACAACAACAACAACAACAACAACAACAATA